ATAACCTTGGCCTGACAGTCGATCAGCCAGATACGCCGTGATCACTGCGAGCGGTCATGAGAGGCATGATGCGGCGGAAACATACATGTGCTTACCGCAGACGAGCGTGTGATGGGAATGAGCTTACGGAGCCTCGACCAGAGCCTCTCGACGCCCTCACCATCGGTGAGCCCGAGGCCTTCGCGTAAACGGGGGTTGTAGACGATCTGACAGGCCCATTGATGGCCGTACGTGTGCATTGCGGAGATGGCGAATATGAGTCGTTGGTGGATATCAACAGGTAGGATGTTGTACTACGGGCAGTGTCAGTGTGTTCTCATGAACATGAGGGTTAGGGGCGCTCACCAGTTCGAGGCTGCGATCGACGACACAGCCAATGTCGTACAGTGCCGCAACAGTCGCATTGGGGGGGAGGAATGTAAAGAGATGCTCGAGGAGCGCGATCGCATATTTCTGTTGCTCGCCTGGAGTATCTACGTTAGCTAGGAAAATGGGTATGTCGTGACGGCAGATTAGGGCCATCACGCCGGTATCGTCGAATCAATTCGCACTTGTCTTGACTTTCTTCTCGTCCGCGGCCTTGTACGACTTCTCGCACTCATCGACGATGTGCGCAGGCACCTTTGGAGCGCATGAGGGTCGCGGAGGCTTCTTGCGCGCTGCAATGATGCGCCGGCCGCATTCGTCGACCTTGTCACGAGTTGATATGGTGTCTAGCCGTTTTTTAATTTTTCCTTTTTGCGGGCTCGAACCCGCGACCTCTGTACTATATGCTCGAACGGACAAGTCCTTATCTACTGTACAATTAGATTAGATGGGGCGGCAGTGCGCGGCACAGCTCGGGCTCCGCTGACACAGCCTCTCTGACTCACCGGCCCCTGGGGCCGCGTCAGCATGCTGTGCACGGACCAGCTGCGCACGGACCAGTGCGCACAGCCTGCCCTCATCTTCCCCTGTATATAAGCCGGCCTCTGCTGCCCTAGGGACCTCAGTTTCGACCTCTTGTCCCTAGGTCAGTAAGCATCCTTTGTATTCCTTTTCTTACCTCACTAATATATTATCTTGTCCCTAGCCTTAGGTTTGAGCATTGCTCACCATCGCTTCGGTGAGAACTAGTCGAACGCCCCCAGCTTTTTAGGTTTTCCCCTGTCGCTTGACCTCAAGTCGCGACATTAGGTCGAAACTCCCCATAGCTGCCGGCGTTCCTCGGAACACCAACACTCACTTTACACTTCCTACAGGTTGGGTGGTGCGCACCCTTACTATACCCTACGATACATAGATAGCATATGATACATCGCCACCACTTAGGGAATGAACTCTTCAGTACCTGCACTTCAGTGGGCGGTACTTGTCCTCACGGACGCGTGGCTTAGGTTCCTGCTGCATACTAGCCAAAAGCAGTACTGGGCCCCATGTGAACTGCGAACCCTAGTGTTACCTCGGGCGCCATAGGTGTAAGCTAGTCTAGCACGGCCTTTCGTAGCACGCGCACCTCCCCTTCCTCCCCCCATCACCGTGGCTGACGAATTCTTCGACTGCTCTCGACTTGAGCACGCCTTCGACACCCAGGAGCAAATTGACGTCTCCCGCAACGACCCCGAAAGCAACGGGAATCAAGCCCCCTTCTTTGTCTGTGATCGGCAACCGTGCCCTAATCGTACTCCGCGATCCATCACTACCGACGAAGGGCGCTACGTGCCAATCCGACGAGTCCAGCACCCCCGCGGCCCGGCACTTCGATACGCTGGTACCTCGAGATCCACATCTCGCCACGTCACTCCCGTCCCTTCCCGACCTGCCTCCCCAGGCACCCGCATCCCCCAACCTGTCGCCAGTACAGGTCAAGCACGAGGAGATCCCAATCTCCCTCGAGGAATTGAGGCAGTCGCACAGCCCACAGCGACCCCTCAAACGATCCCCCAGCCCTCCTTGGGGTCGCGGTTGGAAAGGAACCCGAAGCCTGAGCCCAGCGACAGTCCAGCGGTTACTTGGGCCAGCTCGTCGTCAGCAATCTCGTCCTCGACTCCAGTCCCTGTCGTACGTCACCCCGCCACCGGACTTCCTCCGTCGCCTCCACCGCCGTCGCCGCCACGAGGCCGCTCAAGCACTCGCTCCTCTCGAAGTTCGCCCGGCGGACAGTCACAACAGCCGTCTTCGCCCGCGGGCAGTCCTCCGTCCCCCTCGTCGCTGGTAATGTCCTCACCAGCGTCCCCCCCTGACAAGGACACCCTGAAACTCCTCCTCCCACTCCGCTACGATGGCAAAACCGTCATCGAGTGCGACAGGTTTCTGTCGCAACTTCGCATCTATTGGCTGGTTAACACATCGTTGACCACCATCGAACTTAAGGTGCAGGTTGCGCTAAGCCTGCTCGACGGTGACGCCCGCACCTGGGCCACTCCATACTTCGCCCAACTCATATCCGTGCAACTCGGTGTTCAGGGAGTAACGACCCCCTTCGCGAATGAGGCGGCCTTTGCTACGGCTTTCAAAGCCCGCTTCGGCAACCTCGATGATGAGGCAGCGGCCCAGGTAGAGCTAGCCAAACTCTGCGCGGACAAGTCGGTCCGTGAAAAACGCACTGCTGCGGAGTTCTCCGCGCTGTTCAAGGGTCCAGCGGACCGCTCCAGGTATGGCGACCTGGAGCTACGCGACAAGTACCTGAGCGGCATCCCCTCCTGTGTCTACCGCAAAATTGAGCTTGAGATGTTCACTACGTGGGAAGATGCTGACAAGCGCGCCACGGAGGTCGAGCAGATCCTCGACATCAGCCGGGCTCGCCGGCCTGAGTTGAACAATTTCTTCTCGGCTCGAGGTCGAGGACGCAGTGGGGCACGTGGTGGTGCACCCCAAACGCACGCAGCTTCGGCCAGCATCAATGCGGCCGTCGGAAAAGGAAACTTCCCCAGTAGTTGCTTCGGCTGCAGGAAGCAAGGGTACCGACATTTCGAGTGCCCCAACTGTAAGGACAAGCCTTACACAAAATGCGCCGATGCGCGGGCTACAGTCGCCTCGGGTTCCACCCAGGCTGCGACAAGCGCCCCCGTCATGACATCACCCTCAGCAACAATAAGTGCCGCTTCAGCGAAATCCGAGCAATCGGAGCTGGCGGACTTAATGGCACAGGTGAAGTCGATGCGCGAGGAGCTCGAGCACTATCGGGCGATGAAGGAGGAGGGTTTTTGATCCGGTCTGCGCTTCATGCCGCACGCGTCGGGCCGCATATATCCTGTAACAAGTATGATGTATTGTCGACTGCAATGGTGTATGAGTTGGACCAGGGGTCCCAGCACTTTCACATTCCAGTTCGACTTCAAGGAAAAAGACGGCACAAGGACGTAATCGCTATGGTGGACAGCGGAGCCACCACAAAGTTTATCAATAAACGATTCGTTACAGAAAATAAGGTGCAGACACGGAGGCTAAAGGAGCCTATTCCGCTCTATAATATCGATGGCACCCTGAATAAAGACGGAAGCATCTCGGAAGTAGCGGTGCTACAGATGCAGATAGGAGAACACGTCGAGAAGACAGTGTTTACGGTCACGGACATCGGTCCAGAAGATATGATCATCGGGTTGGATTGGCTACGCGAGCACAACCCCGAAATCGATTGGGAAGAAGGTTCCCTCAAATTGTCCCGGTGTCCTGAAACGTGTAGTGCCAGGAAAGCTGGCCGAATGGAGCAAGCAGCGACTGCGCGTGATACAGGGGTCAGGCCCACGGCGCGCAGACGTTCGCCGAAGTCCAAACGGTTGGTTATAGGTGCCTGCCGGAGTAAGGTGCTGCCGGATCTGGAACCCGAAGAAGATCCGGTGGAAGTTGAGTGGGACGAAGCCGACTTGATCGAAGCCTGGGAGCATGGTATCACGCTTCCTGGCGCCCCCCAGCTGTTCGTCGCAGCAGGGCATACGTACTCCCAGTTGTTCGCTGAGGAAGAGATCAAGAAGAAGGTCGTTAAGACCGCCGAGGAGTCGGTGCCTAAACAGTACCACGAGTTCCTGAAAGTCTTCTCGAAGGAAGCATCAGAACGGCTACCCGAAAGGAAGCCGTACGATCATGTGATCGAGCTCGTGCCCGGCTACTCGACATTTCACTCGAAGGTCTATCCCCTGTCGAACAACGAGCAAGAGGAGCTTGACAAGTTCCTAAAGGAGCAACTGGCGAAAGGGTACATACAGGAATCGAAGTCGCCTATCTCGTCCCCCTTCTTCTTCATCAAAAAAAAGGAAGGGACACTCCGACCCGTACAAGACTATCGCTGGTTGAACGCGATCACAGTCAAGAATCGCTATCCCTTGCCGCTGATCGCCGAGATGGTAGACAAGCTCCGCGGCGCGACGCTCTTCACGAAGTTCGATGTCCAATGGGGATACAACAACGTCCGGATCAAGGCCGGTGATGAATGGAAGGCGGCCTTTGTGACTAACCGGGGACTGTACGAACCCCTGGTAATGTTCTTCGGCCTCACCAATTCTCCCGCAACTTTCCAGGCGATGATGAACGAGATCTTCCATGATCTCATCGTCGGCGGCAAGGTCCTCGTGTACCTGGATGACATCCTCATCTTCTCTACCAACAAAACAGAGCTCACACGTGAGGTTCTTCGCCGACTTCAGGAGAACGATCTGTTCCTGAAGCCTGAAAAGTGCGAATGGGACGTTCCCAAAGTCGACTACGTCGGCTATGTGTTCGGTGGCGATGAGGTGGCGATGGATCCTGCGAAGCTGAAAGGAATTAATGAGTGGCCGGTACCCCGGAACAAAAAGGATGTTCAGAAGTTCCGGGGGTTTGCCAATTTCTACCGCCGCTTCATCAAAGACTTTGCCAAGATCTCGCGACCACTCGACCCGCTCACAGGGAATGACCCCTGGCACTGGGGTGAAGAGGAGCAACGTGCATTTGACGAGCTCAAGTGACTTTTCGGCACAACCCCTGTGCTGGCGCTGTACGATCCCCATCGGGAAACGCGCATCGAAGTCGATGCCTCGGGATATGCCACTGGCGGTGTGCTGATGCAGAAGCAGGACGATGGCAAATGGCATCCCGTCGCCTTCCGATCCCATGCCATGGACTCGGCTCAGTGTAACTATGAGATCTACGACAAGGAGATGCTCGCGATCATCGAAGCCTTGGAAGAATGGCGCCATTACCTCGAGGGGTTACCTAATCAGTTCGAGATTGTGACCGATCATAAGAACCTCGAGTACTGGCGCACGTCCCAGCATCTCACGCGTCGTCAAGCCCGCTGGTCACTATTCCTGGCACGCTTCGATTTCCGCATCACGCACAAGGCCGGAATGTCGAACGGAAAGGCTGATGCCCTGTCACGCCGATCAGACCATCAGGTCGGCGATGAGGACGATAACACCGATCAGGTGGTTCTCCGACCGGAGAGGTTCCGCATCGCCTCCGTCAGGCACGGTCATGCCTTGGTAACAGCAGATCAGTCGCTTCTGAAGCGCATCAGGGAATGTTTGGAGAAGGATCGGGAGGTGGCCGAGGCACTTGAAAAGGTGCAGGACCTCCGGCCGCCCCGGCTGCAAAGGGGTTTGGAGGAGTGGAATGCCGAGCAAGGACTCCTATTGTTCCGCGGATGCGTATATGTCCCAAAGAACGTAGAGCTCCGGCGGGATATTGTCAAGATCCACCATGACTCGCCGATCGCCGGTCATGGCGGTTGTGCCAAAACCCTTGAGCTCGTGTCGCGGAACTACTGGTGGCCTGGGATGTCCAAATTCGTCAATGAGTACGTAAGCACCTGCGACGTGTGCAACCGTACCAAGACATTCCCAGCCAAGCCCCAGGGTCCGCTGAAGCTGAATGAGATCCCCGAGCGCCCGTGGCAGATCATCACAACCGATATGATTGTCGGTTTGCCGAAGTCTGATGGATTTGACTCGATCCTGGTTACCACCGACCGCTTCACTAAGCAGGTCCACTTCTCGGCCTGTCATGAGACCCTGACAGCAGAAGGTGCGGCAGACCTGTACATCCGCGATGTGTTCAAGCATCATGGGGCCCCGGCCAAGGTCATATCAGACCGAGGTCCCCAGTTCACTTCGAAATATCTCCATGCGGTGTACAAGGGACTGGGAATCGAGCCGGCGCTGTCCACAGTGTTCCACCCCCAGACAGATGGCCAAACTGAGCGCTGGAATCAGGAGATCGAGCAGTACCTGCGTGCTTTCACAAGCCACAGGCAGGATGATTGGGCGAAGCAGTTGCCGCTCGCGGAGTTTGCGCTGAACAATCGAGTTCACTCTGCTACCGGGCACTCCCCCTTCTTCCTGCATCAGGGGTACCATCCTGAGATCCAAGTGCGGATCAATCCGATGTCGGCAATGCCCGCGGCCGCTGATCGGCTCAAAATCCTGAAGGAGATCCGAGACGACACGCGCTCTGCGCTTGAGCTGTCAGCTGAGCACATGAAGGTGTACTATGATAAGCACGTGCAGGAGGCACCGGTCTTTGCGCCGGGGGACAAGGTCTGGCTTGACGCTCGGAACCTTAAGCTGAAACAGCCGAGCAAGAAGCTCAGTCCCAAGCGCCTCGGACCTTATGCCGTGCGGCGAAAGCTTGGAGACCTGGATTACGAATTAGTCCTGCCGAAGTCGGTGCCGGTGCACCCGGTATTCCATGTCTCCCTGCTAAGCAAGTACACGCGTAGCGACATCCCGGGCCAGGAGCCAGAGGAGCCGCCTGCCATTGAGGTTGAGGGCGACGAGGAGTACGAGGTTGAGCGGATCAAAGATTCGAGAATCTTCCGACGACAGCTGCAGTACCTCATCAAGTGGAAGGGTTATGACGACTCGCATACATCATGGGAGCCGGCGCGCAACATTGCCAATGCGCCGGCCCTCATAGCCGACTTCCACCGGAAGAACCCGAATGCCCCTCGTCGCCTCAATGCCGCTACATTTGGTGGTCTCAACTTTCAGCCGATGCCTTCGCCGTTGACTGAAGCACGCTGCCGCTCCGGATGGGAGATGGGCAAGGGCGCCTCGCATGAGGTCATGCGCCGTTGAGGGGGGGGTAATGTCACGAGTTGATACGGCGTCTAGCCGTTTTTTAATTTTTCCTTTTTGCGGGCTCGAACCCACGACCTCTGTACTATATGCTCGAACGGACAAGTCCTTATCTACTGTACAATTAGATTAGATGGGGCGGCAGTGCGCGGCACAGCTCGGGCTCCGCTGACACAGCCTCTCTGACTCACCGGCCCCTGGGGCCGCGTCAGCATGCTGTGCACGGACCAGCTGCGCACGGACCAGTGCGCACAGCCTGCCCTCATCTTCCCCTGTATATAAGCCGGCCTCTGCTGCCCTAGGGACCTCAGTTTCGACCTCTTGTCCCTAGGTCAGTAAGCATCCTTTGTATTCCTTTTCTTACCTCACTAATATATTATCTTGTCCCTAGCCTTAGGTTTGAGCATTGCTCACCATCGCTTCGGTGAGAACTAGTCGAACGCCCCCAGCTTTTTAGGTTTCCCCTGTCACTTGACCTCAAGTCACGACA